GGAAGGGCTGGCTCACCCGCCGGCCCTCGGGGCACACAGTTCCCGGGGTTTCCGTGCCTCCCGGAATGGGCTCTGTGGGCTGCCAGCTGCCTCGGATGCTGTGTGCTCCTTGCGGGCGGCCCTGACTGGCGCCCAGACGCCCCGTCTGGATTGGCCTCTGTCACCTCAGGAACAGATCCCCAAGTGAAACTGAAAGAGGCCTTCCTTGCCCTCCTTCCGAGGTCTGCTACGTCTCAGGAGCCACGTGTGCCATGTTCTGGAAGGCAGGTCACCCGTTTCCTGGGAGTCCCAGCCCAGAGGGTCGGAGGCTGCTGGCATAGGGTGCTGGGACGGCAGGAGGAAGGGCTGGGTCTGGCCGCAGGGCTGCAGTGAGCCGTAAACTTTTATGGCCCTGACTCACCAGGTGGGGCCACCATCCCTGTGCCCCGGATGACCCAGGGGTGCCGGGAGTGGCCGGTGTCCTGCCAGCGGAGCCAACATGTTCCTCGGCACATGGGGCAGACTGAGGGGGGCCGCCCTGGCTCCAACCCTGGCCCCATGCATGCCCGCGTCAGGCATGGAGCTGGGAAGGTGGGCTCATTGGCTAGCTCAGACCCTTGTCTCCCCTGCTGGGGCTCCCCGGGCATCCAGATCTGTCTGTGGCTGGGTTTGCACAGGGGCTGCACGGGTCACAGTGCTCACTGGGATGGCTCCGGGTATCTGGAGTGTCTTCCTTGGCCACTCAGCTTGGAAGCTGTGGAGTGGGCACGGAGGACCCCCCTCCCTCCCCTGCCTGGTCCCAGTGAGGTTCTGAGCTTGGCGCTTGCCGCAGCACGGGCTGTTGGAGCCTCTCCCGGTGTCATTCGGGCGGACGTGAGCCGGCCAGGGCATTTTCAGGGGGTTTTCATCAGACTCCAGCCGTCCAGGAGCTCCCCTGTTTTGAGGTCGGTCGCTGTGGGAGGCTGTCAGGAACAGCTGTGGGAAGGGTTCTAGGTTGTCACGGGCTGGTGGGTGGGGGTTCTAGGTTGTCCGGGGCCAGCACTGTGGAACCTGGAGGAAGGCGCCGCATACAGGAGGGTGTGGATGTGATGCTGGATTGCTGCCTTGGAGAAGTCAGGGCTGGCACCCCCAAACCTAGGCCTGCCACTTCTCTTGGAGGACCACCCATCTGACGCCCTGGGTCGCATTCCTGCATGGTAGAGGCTGTGTTGCCACAGCGGGGCCCCGCCCCACCCCACCTCTCTGAGGCCTTGGGGAAGCTCCCCCGAGAAGGGCTTGCTGGGGGCTTCTGTTCCCCAGACCCTGCGAGCGCGGGGGAGGCAGGGGCAGCCTCGCTGCCCGCCGGTCCGCTTACGAGCTGCGTGCCAAGTTGCGCGGCTCCGTGAAGGTCTCAGAGAGCAGGGCCCTCAAGGCCCCTGAGATGGGGGTGACCCCGGATGTCCCCGGGCCCCAGCGTCCTCACAGGCCCTCGGAAGCAGAGAACTTTCTCCGCTGGAGGCCGAAGGGGAGCGAGAGACTCGAAGCCTGAGTGGGCCTCCGTGTCTGCGGCCGGTGGCAGGGACACGGGCCTCCTGTCGTGCTGACGGCTGCGCGGGCTTGCAGGGGCATCTCCGCAAAGCACCTGGTGTGAAGCCCAGGCCCGGTGAGGCCCAGGGCAAGGGTGGCGAGCCAGCCTGGACCCCTGTCCTGTGGGGCGTGAGGCAGTCCAGGGCAGCCACGTGGGCTGCTCAGGCGGGGCCGTTGGCCACGGGAGAAGCAAAACAGTTCCCGGCTCTGTTCGCAGGTCTCCGAGCGCCTGCTGCCGTGCTGCGGGGGCCTCCGGCCTCTTCCCAGCAGTGGGCACAGCGTCCAGCCCGGTGCCGGTGTTCCCGGGGATGGAGCACGGGAGACTGTCGAGCATGGGTGCTGTGCCCAAGACCAGCCCAGAGCTCCGAGGGGCCTTCCCCTCCTGCGGGACACCAGGAGCTGGTGTTTGGGCAAAGGTCCCTGTGATGTTCTTGGCTCCAGGTGGGACTAAAGGGGGCTGAGGGGGTTGCTGGCTGGTCAGGCCGCTCACCCAGAACTCACAGGACCCAGCCGTGGGCGGCAGGAGCCCCTGTGCTGCTCAGGGCTCTCTGGGGCTAGGCAGAGAGACGTGGCACGCCAGCCAGCCTGAAGCAAGCCCGAGAGCGAGCAGGGATGGCAGCGAGCCCTGGGAGGACAGGCCACCCTCTGTGTAGACAGACAGAGTAGGGCACACCGGTGTCAGTGGGCCAGGAAGTCTGGGGCCAGTGGGATTTGGCCTGAATGTGCTCCGGGGAAGAAGACGTGGGTGTCAGAGGAGACCACAAGCTCAGTGTATATAGTGCCTTTTAAAAACCGCGAGTGAGCGCACGACGGAGGAGACACTTCCCAGAGGGGCCACGTGGAAGGTGCTCGGTGCCTGTAGGCAGTGTCGGCGTGGACAGTGGTTTAACGGTCTGGGCCACTGGGGCAGCTAGCCGGTGCCAGAGCAAGCGGGTCGTACTGCCCCTTGGCAAGCCGCATGCCTCTCCCCGCTAAAGCTGAACTGAATCTGGAGGGGGGGGGGCCCTGGGGACCCCAAGAGATCTGGGCTCAGATGCCCTCAGCTGTGACTGAGGAGGCTCCACGTTCCGGTCCCCATGTCCTCTGGGCCCTTGGGGGGCGTGAAGGACTGTGTGCCCCTGAAGGCGGGCCCGTAGGGCTGGTGGGGGAGGGCAGCGACTGGCCCCCTAGGGCTGCTCGCCTCTGGCATGTCCTGTACACTCAGGTGCGGCCTGCCCGAGCACCTGGCTCCCTGTAGGGCCGTCAGGCAGTCCCTTCGCCTCTCCCGTCACGGGGCCATCACCACGGCTGCCCCGAGGGAGCTGGTCTCTCCTGGACCAGGGGTGGGTCTGTGGGCCCACGGCTGGCAGGGGCAGGCAGCGAGCCAGAGGCGAGCCCACATCTGTCTCCAGAACCCAGTCCCAGGCTGTGTTTGCCGGGGGTCGTCTTCGCCCGGCGTTCTGCTTCTCCACGTGCAGTTTCTCCCAGGGGCCGCCGTCCGCTGCGTGTGAGGAGAGCGAGAGCCTCTGCTGCGAGCTGGGAGGCGCCGGGGCCTGTTGCGGCCACGTGCCTGTCCCTGCACTCGGCTCCTGGGGTGGCGTGCAGTGTCCCACGTGCGTTCCCCACACGGTCGAGCTCTGCCGCTTCTGCTCTCGGGGGTCAGGCTCGGGTGACAGGCCGTGCAGCGGTCCTCCTGCCAGGGCCACCTCTGCTCCCAGTCAGCTTACTGGTCTTGCGTTCAGCCACGTGTTGACCGTGCCAGGCCAGGGCTGAGGTGTCTGATGTGGAGGAAATGTGGGGCCTCCCCCCCGCCCCATGCCTGTCCCCAGGACGGCTCTTCCTCTGTGTCCCAGGGGCACGGGAGGTTTTGCAGGAGCCGTATCAGTTGAGACACTGCTCCTGGGCGGCAGGTCTGCGGGGTTGGGCTCTGGGGTCCTGCAGGCCGCCTTTCACGGCATTGAGAACAGAGCTGGAACTCCCACCCTTAAACGGCTGTGCTCCGAAATAGGGACTCTGGGTGCACCCACCGTATCCTTCTTATCCCCCTTCCTGCCCTGCCTGAGCTGTGCACAGGGGGCCAGGGCCCCTGCCTGGCTTTGGCATCCCAGAGCCTCTGCATTCCAGATGCGTCCTGGGAACTCTGTAGAAATCCGAGGTCACGCGCTCGGTGCCAGCCTGGCCTGGAGCTCCGGGTCGGCAGCGCTCCCAGCCCCCAGGGCTTGCAGGGCTCTGGGCTGAGGGTTGGGGCGGCTCCAGCTGGGGTTTGCTTCCTCCTCCAGGCCTAGTATCCCGGGGGGCGGGGGGCCTTAACAACCAACCACACTCTGGGCCGCTTGAACCACAGAACTTTGTTGTCCCCAGTTCCAGAGGCCATAAACCTGAGCTCAAGGTGTGGCAGGGCCGGGCTCCCTCTGGGAGCTCCAGGGGAGGGTCCCTCCTGCCTCTCCAGCTCCCAGGGCTCCGGTGCTCCTCGGCATGCGGCTGCGTGGCTCCAGTGTCTGTCCCTATGGCACGCGGCTGTCTCAGCATGTCTCCCTCTCCACCCCCGCCCCATCCTGGGATCTCAGGACCTTCCTTCAGAGCCAGGTGGAAGGCGGGCCAGAAAGGCTGTCCTCTCCTGCCCAGGGGGAGGCCAGCAAGTCCCAGCTGCCCAGAGACACGGTTTCGGGGGCTGCCTGATCCTGGCCCGGCAGGGTACAGATGAGGGAGTGAGCCATGGTGGGCCTGCGGTCTGGGCAGTCAGCGCGATCGGGACAGCCTGCTCAGAGTGTGTGGGGGGCTGAGCCAGCAGAGCTGGGGTGACAGCTGAGGGGGTCAGCAGAGAGTCTGGGTGCCTGCAGGTGCCTGCTGGCTGGGGGCGTGTCGGGGTCAGCCTGTCCCAGGCCATGGCCTCTTCCTGCGCTGCACTGCCCCGTTGTCTTGTTTGGGCCACCGAGTCCCTGCTCTTTTCGTTTTACAGTGACTCATTTGAAAACCCGATCTCAAAAAGGAAATTGTGGGAACGTAAACCACGATCGTGAAGCGCGGGCCTGTGTGGGCACCCATGCTTCACCTGTCATGGGGTGCTCTAAAAATACACCCCAGGCCCACTAGGGTGCTGAGCGCCGAGCCAGCCCCGCATTGTCTGGGTTTCGTCCCTCCGTGCCTGGAGAGCCCACCTGGTGCCCACCGGGGCTGGTCCTGAAGCAGCTGGCGCCCCCCAGGGACCGGGCTCGGGGGCCCAGGCAGGGTTCTGCGGGCAGCACTGGGCAGTGAGAAGTGGGGGAGGGCAGCTGAGGCGGGAAAGCAGGGGACTAGGACAGGTGGGGTCCTGAGGGTGTGCAGAAGGAGGGCTGGCCGGTGCCTTGGGGGTACGGGGAAATAGGAAGCCTGAGCCTGTGGAGGCTCTGGGGTGGTGAGAGGTGACATTGGTTGGGTGTTGGAGGAAGGGGGCTCTGTAGGGTGGCCTCTGGGGGGATGAGGTGGTGGTGGGTGTGGTGTGAGATTAACGGAATATAAAATTTGCTCTTTTGAAGTGTACGATTCAGTGTCTTTCACTATATTCCTAGTATCGTACAAACAGAACCACTACCTAATTCCAGAACATTCCATCAGTCCGACAGCTAGTCCTGTCCCCATCAGCTATCACGTGGCTGTTGGCCCCCATGAGGTCTTTCCTGTCCCTGGAGAAGCCTGGTGCGGGTGTGTCACATGCGTGGACTCACACCCTGTGCCCTTCTGTGTCTGGTTCCCTCCCTGAGCGTCGTGGGCTCAGGGTCAGTCCCTGGGCAGCGTGTGGGGGCGCCTCGCTCCTGCTGGGGCCGATCACATGCCCGTGGGCAGACAGACCACGTTGTGTCCTCTCACCCTTTCATGGACGCTGGGTGTCCTGTGGCTGTTGTGACTCCTGCCACTGTGGACACGTGTGTACAGGTTTTGTGCGGACAAGTATTTTCACCTCTCCTAGGGCTCCGGGGAAGCGGCTCGTGATTACCCCCATGCGCCCTGGCCTCGGGTGGCGCTTTCTAAAGGAGCAGCCCAGGGTCCTGTAGCCGCAGAGTCTGGAAGCAACCTGCTTGTGGGAGGGGTTCAACTTCACTCCAGGTCGTGGCTGCTGAGAGAGGGAAGCTGTGGCAGGCAGGGCATGGACAGGGCTTACCGGGCGGGCTTGCGGGGCATGCGCGAGCACGGGCTACCGAAGGGGCGGCAGTCGAACCCCAGGGACGAGGGCCAGCCGGCCAGCACCTGTGGCCAGCTCCGTGAGCTTTCTCTGTGGATAAAGGTCATTCCTGCCTGCCTCTGTCCCAGGTGCTGGGAGCAGAGCCCCCTCAAGGGGGGGGTCCTCCAAATCCAGGAGATTTCTGGGGCCGCAGGGAGGGGAGCGGTCACTGGGTCCCTGCGGCCTTGCGCTCTGCTGAGTGCCCGGCCAGCCTTGGCCACGGACCTCCACACAACCCATTTCTTCTGATGAGCAAAACTGGGGCTCAGAGGAGCTACGGTGCCCCTGCGTTGTCAGAGAATTGTTAGGAGGCTGAGCTGGGTTTTGACCCCATCTGCATGACCCCAGAATCTTTAAAAGGAATGGCCGAGACCCTGAATCACCGCTAACTGTGTGTTCATCCAGGAAGACCTCAGGACTTTCCACTCTTGGCTTCTAAGGCTGTGTCCCACCGGGTCTTGGCTTGCAGGAGCCGGCGGGTGCAAGGACAGGCCGGGGCAGGCCGGGGCCTCCAGGCTGGGGGAAGTGCTGTCCCGGTTGCAGGGGGTGCCTGTGAGCCTGCGAAGCTGAGCCGGGCAGCGGCAGGTCCTTGGGGCCCAGATGCAGCCCTCTGCTGGAGCTCAGGCCTGCGGGCCCCTTCGCTGGCCAGGAGCTCGGGGTAAAGGCAGCCCCTCCCCGCCCCCTGAGGGATTGCATAAGCTGCCCGCGTGCGGACAGTGATTACTGGAAGTCCCGAGGATTTCTTCATCCAGGGCTTGGCGGGGAGCGGCAGCTGCCTCCCCTTCCTGCCTCTCCTCGGTGATTAATGTCCTCAGCCACTGCCGGCCTGAGGAGCTCCAGGGCCAGCCTAGGGTCTGGGCTCCCGTGGCGGTGGGTGGGGACCAGGGGAGCCTAGGGCACAGGCCACGGGGCAGATGGAAATCGGGTGGGAAGCCTTGTGCCTCTGTAGTCAGCCCCGGTGGCATTTTCTGCGCCTGCTCTGCCTGCCTTCTAGAGCAGGACCGTTCTTGGTGGGGAAGCTGTGTGTCTGTGCCCCTTCCTGGCTCACCTTGGCCCCGACTCCCCCAGAGACGCTCCTGCGAGCCCAGTCTGGTGGCAGAGGGACAGGGCTGGCGCTCAGCTTGGAGGTGCCGGCCGGGTTGGACTTTGACTCCCAGCCTCAGACTCGCCAGGTCACGGAGCCGGGCCCATGGGATGGGCAAGGATTGTTGCTCACACCAGGGCCCAGGGCTCTCTTCCTGGGTGGCAGGAACGGACCCCTGGGGCCAAGTTACTTGTTATTTGGTGGGCCAGGCAGCGCTCGCTGGTCATGTGGACAGCGGTGGGGAGCGCGGTGGGGCAGCCCAGCCGCACTGGAAGGGCTGCCGCCATCCTGGAGGTCCGTCCCAGAGCTCGTCTTCGTTCTGGCCCAGGCACTGCTCCGTGTGGCCGGGAGCCCCTCTGGGTTGCACTTGCTGCCTAGGTGGGCCCTGTGGTCAAGAGTCCAGTCCCGGTGCCCGCAGGGGGTGCGGTCGGGTCGTGGTTGGGGCCTCCTGAGTACTTGGAGCACGGGGTCGGAGCCCAGCCCCAGGGGCTACTCGAGTGTGCTCAGACTACACTGGGGGTAGAGGTCCCCTCCCACCCCGGCATGGCCCCTGGGGAGGGGCGCCCCAACACCGTGCGGTCAGGGGAGCCTCCGCGCCCACCCTCCACTCCAAAGGCATGGCTGGCTGTGCTGAGCCCACCTGCTCTGTGCCCACCTGACCTGGCCACCCCTTAGCCCACTCTCCCTTATCCCTGGGGCTGTGCCCTCACCTGTTGGGCCTCAAGGGTGACCTTGGGATGTGCCATGTCTCTCCCCAGGTCATGATGCCGCCACCGCGGAGCAAGAAACCCAGATAGACACACCCGCGGCCTGGGTCGCGGAGCCCCCCGATGCTGGTGGTGGGGCCTGCCATGGACGGGGAGCTTCCGCAGCGCGAGCCCCCTCCAGCGGGCGGCACCCTCTACAGCCCGCCCCCCCTGCAGACCCCGCTGTGCGGGCCCGGCGTCCAGGTGAGTCTGGCCCCCCCAGCGTCAGCCTGGGCGCAGGGGTGGGGAGGGACACACTGCTCCTGGGGCTGCAGCTACGGCCACCCCCTGCCTGGGCCTCGAGCGGAGGTCCCAGCCCCCACTTCCCAGGGAGGCCCCTTAGGGGTGCCCAGCTGCCCCCAAGTTTCTCAGACATGAGCCACTGGGTTGGTTTCGCCAAGGTCAGGACTGGCCCTTAGGAAGACGCTCGGGCCTGGGCTGTTGTCCTCACCGGCAGGACAAGGGCTGTGACCTCCGCAACATATTATTTTGAGGTTTTTTTATTTTCGATGTAATGGACCTTACGTCCTTTAAGGTTTACTTGAGGGAGAGAAGGGGAGGGGGCAGAGGGGGAGGAAGAGAAACCTCAGGCAGAGTCCCTGCTGAGCGTGGGGCTCGGTCCTGTGACTCTGGGATCACAACCTGCACCGAAATCAAGAGTCGGACCAACTGAGCCACCCTGGCGTCCCCCAACGTTTGTGTCGTAAGCAGTTGTAGATTTATAGGAAAATGGAGCACAGAGTTTCCACATACCCTGCTTTCTGCATTGTTAACACGTTGTGTTAATGATCGCACTGAGCTGTTCCGACTGATAAACCACCACGGGGACATGATGGACGACAGGCCCCAGGTGACACCAGGGCTCATGGTTGGTGCTGCACACCCTGTGGGTTCGGACGAACGTCACGGACACCGAGCCACCATCACAACGTGGCACAGAGTAGCTCCCGGGCCTCTCGGCCCTCTGGGCTCCGCGCTGTCACCCTCTCGCACCCCGGCCTCCACGGCCCTGGCTTTTCCAGAACACCCCGGACTCAGAGCCCCACAGCGTGTGGCCTTCACAGCCTGGCTGGTCTTGCTCAGGGATGCGCTGCTGAGGTCCCTCCAGTCTCTGCCGGGCTCAAGGGCTCGTTTCTTCTCAGTGCTGAGTAATGCTCCCCGTCTGGGCGGAGCTCCGGGGTCTACCTGCTCGCACACAGAAGGGCATCGCGGCTACTCCCGAGCTTCGCCGACTGTGGTTGAGGGCACATAGGTTCCAGCCCGGCCTGCTCAGTGGCCGAGTGCACGCAGGGTCCAGCGCTCCGCAGCAAGTCAGGCCTGGAGCCTCCCTTTTCTGGGGCAGAACCGGGGTTCTTTCTGCCTTAGAAGAGCAGACTTTCTCAGCAGGGAGACTGGAGCTGTCAGGACGGGGGCAGAGGGCTGGCTGGGGCTGCCAGGGGCCGTCCTTCAGGAAAGTGTCAGCTGGTTCCTTCCCCTCCGTCCTGCTGGCTTAGGGCTGGGAGGAGGCCCGGTAGCAGGAGAGACCAAGAATCAGGCTTGGATTTCAGAGGAGCCGGGAAGTGGGCCACTGGGGTCAGGCACTGCTCAGGGTCAAATGCCCAGAACCATCGGGGGGTGTCCCAGATCCATAATCGGAACATTGGAAAGCAGCTGGGTGGCGTGGACTGAGTTCTGTCTGTCTTGGTGTGCCCACTGGTAACCTAACGTCACAGGCCTAACCTGCACAGTTACTGGCGTGAGCCACAGCAGTCTGGGAAGGGCAGACCTCCCCATCCGCGTTACCACTGAAGATGCCATGTCCGCGCCATTGGCCGGCGGCCAGCACCTCTGGCCAGGGCCCCAGACGCCACCGTGCGCCTCCTCTCTCTCCCCTTCCTGGTAGAGCTGTGTCCACACGTCCTCTGACCTTCCATGTCCCCTGCCTCCCTCTGAACCTCCGTCCGCGCCGTTGTGCCCGATGCCTTCCTGTCCCCGTGTGCTGCCTGGCCCGGGGCTGTGGGTAAGTGTGTCCTGGGGCTTGGTCTTGCCCAGTTCTGTAGTCTCTGTAGTCTTGGAGCGAGTGCTCATCATTCCTAATAGTGCTACAGGGTTCCTGCTTGTCAGCGTCCCATAATTTGCTTAATTGTTTCCCTATTGTTGGGCTTCTGGGGTGATTCCAGTTTTTTGCCACTAGAAATACCACCCTTGTGTTTCCCCCTTGTGGATGAGGCTGGGATGGGGGGTCCTTCCGAATCAGAACTCCTGGGTCAGAAGGAGCCCCGGGTAGGGCCGCAGAGGATGGGGCTCTACCACAGGGATCCTGCTGCTGCCACGGCCCCTTTATGGTGGCCCGCGATGGAGGCTAGGGTGCCGGTGCTCCTTGGACAGCTCTGGACCAGCCATGCTCAGAAGCAGGCGTGGAGGGACCTGCTGGGGCTGCGATGTGGGCCCGGCCGAGGGCAGTGCCTCTCAGGCCCATCCCCTCCAGCTGTCAGAATTGGCGGAGCTCGGTGCTCCGCGGTGTCGCGCGGGGCCGGGCCGGCCCTCCCAGGGCGTCTGCGGAGCCTGTCCCTGCGGGCCTCCAGCCGTGAGGGCCCCTTCGCCAGGCCACGCCGGGCCAGCCCGTGCTGACACTGGATGCGCGCGGCCCGCCTCTGTGGCTGGGCTCAGCACTCCCCCTCCATCGTGTCCGGGCGGAACCGAGCTCTGGCAGAGGGACGCGCCCAGGACCGTCACTGTCACTGGGGCGGCCTGGCCGAGCCCTGAGAGCGCGGACGCGCAACCAGCGCTAAGCTCCACGCAGACAAAGGATACTAATGTGTGTCCCACGCAATATTTACTCTAAAAATTGCTTTTTTAAACGAGATTTTACTTATCTATTTGAGAGAGAATGGCAGATAGAGAGGACGGCAGGGGGAGGGGCAGAGGGCGAAGCGGATTCCCTGCTGAGCTCGATCCCTGGACTCGGGGATCATGACCTGAGCTGAAGACAGTCGCTCAACCAACTGTGCCCCACCCCCGGGTACCCCTGATTTTTTCTGTTTTTTAAAGATCTTATTTACTGTGAGAGAGAGAGAGCGCGAGTACATGGGGAGGGGGTAGGGAGACAGGGAGAGAGAATCCCTAGCAGATGCCTCGCTGAGTGCAGAGTCTGACATGGGGCTCGACCCCAGGGCTCTGAGATTGTGACCTGAGCCGAAACCAAGTTGGCCGCTTAACCCACTGAGCCAGCCAGGTGCCCCTAAAAACTGCTCGCTGTTTATCAGAAATTCCATTTTTGCTAGACACCCTGTATCTTATCTGCTGCCCTAGCAAAAGCGTTATCTTCCTACGTGGGCTTACAGGTCCTGGGGCGTTCGTCTCCCCGGGAGAAGGCAGCTTCTGTTCCCACCAAGCTTGCCTTGGCTGGCCTGGGGGTGGGGGGGGGGCGGGAGTCAGGCGCAGGTCTCTAGATGGGTCACGCCCAGAGCCTGCTCTGGAGAGGCAGAGACACGCCCGCTATGTGGGGCAGATCCTGAGGAAGGCTCTTGTTGGCTGTGTGGTGGCACCCCTTGGAGTGGGACTGTTGGCTGTGTGGTGGCACCCCTTGGAGTAGGACTGGGGCGGCCTGGACTGGCGGCCTCACAGAGCCCTGCGCTGGGGGAGAGGGTGCGGGGGTGCCGGGTAGACAGAGGCACAGTGACCTCGTGCTGTCCGGCTTCCCGGGTGAGGTGTGGACAGAGCAGGAGAGTTAGGGGGAGTGGGGCGCACCCCACAATGGCCTGCCTGGCCTGGAAGCCGCCTCCAAGCTGGGTCTGCCTGCTGTGTGTCCGGAGTGGCCCACGGTGCCTGGTTTATGCTAGTTCGTGAGATGTTCTGGGAGTGCCCGCGGCTCTGGGACGCTTACGTCCCTCTCTCAAGTTGGAGTTTTCTCCTTTCTTTTTAAAGATTTTATTTTTAAGTCCTCTCCATACCCGACGTGGGGCTCGAACCTACAACCCCGAGACCAAGAGTTGTTCACTCCAGGGACTGAGCCGTCTAGGCGCCCCCCCGGTTCCTCTCCTTGCATGGGGCTGGAGAGGAGAAGTGACACTGGACCGGGGCCCTGGGGTGACCTCACCCTGCTCCCCTGGAGGGGGGCCTTCTGGAGGCTTCCACAGTTACTCTCCATAAGTGCCACCAGCCGTCATGCTGGGGAGGGCCCTGTGCTGCTCCTCCCTGCTGTTCTGATAGTGTCTCTGCAGCGAGTGCCAACCCTGGGGGAGCGGCTGGGACCTCTTCCCTGCACGTCTCTCCCTCCCCTTCCTCCGGTCTGCTGCTCTGGGCCTGCACAGCCCTGCAGGGGTCGGGGCGCGGGGTGGGGGGGGGTGCACAGTGCTGGGAAGTCAGGGCTGGCTCCCCCCACCCCTAGACAGAGGCTCCGGAGAATGGCGCCTCTCCTCGCCCAGCCATCTGGGCTGGTTCCAGGCCAGCTCTCGGGCCAGCTCTCTGTCAGTCAGTCCTGCGGAGAGGGAGGAAGCCGTGGCTGGGGGATGGCTTCCTGCCGCCTGGTGGAGGAGCCTGGCTCTGGTGGCCCCGTGGGAAGGCTGCTGGTCTTCCACCTGCCAGAGCCAGCTAGGACAAGTGGGGACACTGACTGCAGCCAGCGGGCCCCTCCCCAGCGGTGGCCGGGGCCTCCCGGACGTGCTCCCACGCAGGCCATGGTGTGGCTTCGGGGAAGGGACCCCTGCTCAGCAGGCCTATGCGTCAGGGTGGGACAAGCCTGTCGTGTGGGCAGCGTGAGCGTCCACTGTCCACGCCCCCAAGCTGGTCCTATCAGAGCCCAGTGCAGGGCCGCCAAGCCCCCACTGACCTCAGGGTCACCTTTCCAGCCCGCCATGACTGTTTCTCAAAGCGGGCTCCCCAGAACCCCTACCAAGCTGGCTTGGCCTGCGGGAGCTCTGAGAAGGCCAGGCTCTCACCCCCCGGGAGGGGTTCATCCATGGTGCTGCTGGGAGCCCCTCGGAGAAGCCCTCGTTGCCACACGGACCTCCCTTGGGCCTGGACCAGAAGGTGCCCCAGTCCCACCCTCTACTTTCTGGAGGCAGGGGGGCCTCCAGGCAGGGTCCCCGGCCCTCCAGCACACCTGGGTCCTGTGTGGAATGCAGGTTCCCAGGTCAGACCCTTGGGTGGGCCAGCAGTCTGAGCCCCCCAGGCCCTCCAGAGATGAGGGGGTGCTCCTAGTCTGGAGGTGGGTTGCGCCCCCCTCCCCCGTCCCGCCCCGCCCGTGGCTGGGTGTATGGCGGTGCCCGTGGCTCTCCGCCGGCCCGAGCCCTCCACATGCACGGATGGGTTCCTCCGTCTTCACGGTAGTCCCCTCCGTGGGCTCTCCTGGACGGATGGGCAGACTGACGCACGGAGCTGTGGTCGCTCCCTGGAGACCCGGCTGGGGGACCACAGGGTGCAGTTTCTACCCAGGCTGTGGCGGCAGCGTCCTCCCTCCTCTTTGCTGACTGAGCCCCCAGTGGGCGCCCCTGACACTCCCGCTCTGTTTCAGAGCGCCATGCTGCACTGCCCGTGGTGGACCGCCTTCTCGCCCACGCCGTACCCAGCCTTCTCCAGCGAGAGCCCGTAAGTCCCTCTGGCCTCCGGGTCCTAGCTCGCCCTGCCGCGCCGTGCCCTGCGGCCATGGAGCCCTCCAGAGCTTTCACAGTTCTGCGGGCCCTGCCAGAACAAAATAGAGCTCATGGCCCGTGGAGGGCTTCGGCATCCCGCTCAGGGGCTTGTGGGCTGGGCCCTGGCCACATGGAGGCAGCTGAGACTGACTGGCTATGGCCAGTCTTAGAAAGAGCCCACCAGGGAAAAGGGCAGAGGGCTCTGTGGGTGCCCTCCGGGCTGAGGGTGAGAACTCGGGGTGAAGGAGCTGGGAGGGCATGGCGAGTGGGGTTTTGAAGAGTAAGTAGGAGCCTGCGAGGGGTTGGCCGGGAGCAGGCCAAGTGCCCGGCTCAGGAACGGCCTGTGGAGGAGCCTGGCCGTGCCTGGCGACTGCAGGGCACTGTGTCCTGGGACACGGGCATGTGGGCCTCTCCAAGGAGCTGAGTCACCTGGACGCTGGAGCTGGTCCTTGGGCCGGTGGCTCCTGCTCCTGTCCTAACGTCCGCTCTCTGTCCCCGTCTCTCTGCAGCCAGTTCATGAGCTCCACCTCCTTCCTCGCCAGCCAGCCCTGCGTGGACACCAGCTACGGACCCCCCACCACCACCCCCAGCTTCCTGCCAAAGACGGGCGACTTTCCTCAGGTAGGGACCTGGAGCCGCGGTCCCCCCCGCCATCCCCGTGAGGGTGCATGGGCGGCCTTGGCCCAGCTCAAGTGCCCATGGTCTGTACTTGGGAAGAGCTGCTGCCCCCGTGGCCGAGGACTCCCAGGTAGCCCCGGTGGCTTCCCTGCAGTGAGAGAGCCGGGCCGGAGGCACACCCCTGTCCGCTTGGTGCTGGCGCCCCAGGTGTGGCTGTGGGGCGGCGTCTGGGGGCGCTGGGTCTGCTTTTCCAAGCGTAGCACCTCCCGCTCCTGGGCGCAGGCCCCCATGCTTGCCCCGTCTGGGTGCCGTGGCGCCTCATGCCCTGTACCCCTGGCAGGGCAATGCTCCATTGGGTGCCAAGACCAGACTGGGTGTTTGTGACCCGAACGGTGGCCGTTTGAAGAGTGTAGCCCACCCGCACTGGAGGAAGAGACACGTGCAGTTTCATTTTGGGGGGGACTCTGATGCACCCTCGCCGGCCGCGTCTAACGGCTTGCCCTCCTTGCGGCAGGCCCCAGAAGCCAGGTTCCTCCAGAGAGCATTTGTGGGAAGGAGCCCAGGCAGGATCTGAGGCTGGGCAGGGGGCAGCCTGGCGGTACTGAGTTTCCCTCAGAAACGTGTGGGACTCGGTTTCGCCACAGCTGGGGTACTCGAGCACGCAGTTTGGAACTGTCCGTCCCTGGGGGCTCGGGTCCCCGGAGCCTCAGCTTTCCTTGTACAGTGGGGGCTTGTGTGGCCCCTGGGGAGCCGTCCGGGAGGATTTGGCTCAGCTGGAATCCCCTGGACCCAGGCAGGATGGGTTCCGACTGGCTCCCTCCGCGGGGAGCTGCCCAGTGTCCCTGTAGCACCCCGCGGGGCCTGGAGCCAAGTCCAGAACGGGAGCTTCCTTGGAAACAGGGTCTTTGCACGTGTCACTGAGTTAAAGTCGGAAATGAGCTGATCATGGAGCAGGGTCCCCTAAACCCAGTGGGTCCTTGAAGAGCCGAAGGACACGGGAAGCCCAGGACAGTGGCGTCAGCCACAGGCAGGGCAGCTGGGAGCCTCAAGGGGCGGCTGGGGGTGCAGCCTGGGAGGCCTTCACCCGGCAGGACCACATGAGCACGTGCGTGTGTGGTTCAAGCCCTCCCTCTCCAGCTTGGACCCCGTGTGGCCCCCTGGGAAGGAGCTTGGCTGGGCCTGGAGGACGTGCGAGCACAGTAGGCTCAGCTGGCCGTCGGGGCTTTGCAGGCCTCATCTGGCCCCCAGCTCTCCCAGGGGGAGGGGGCAGCGGGAGAGGGATGGGGGGTCCCCATGGTGGCATCCCAGCAGCCTTTGCAGGCATACGTGGATTCTCCCGCCAGCTGCTGACACGCAAGGACGCACTGGCCGCTCTGGTTTGGCGGCTGCTGTCGCCCCGCCTGCGAAGCACCCGTGTCCACGACAACGGGTGCGGCTGGCGGTCCACGGCCTGACCCCCTCCCTGAGCCGCCATGCGTGCTCTGAGCGCTGATTGAGTTCTTCCGCTCAGGTCCAGGACAGCTCCTCGGCCAGCCCCAGTGTCTCACGATGCTGGCTCCCAGCCAGGGCGCCCCCTGGTCTCCAGGCTGGGGAGCTAAGGCTCCTGGGAGCTGAAGCCCCAGCCAGGGCCGCCCGCCCGGCTCGCTTCCATGCGCTCTGCTCGTGCCGCTTCTCTCTCTGCTCTGCCCAGAGCCAGTGCGCTTCCTTTGACCCACCCTTGGGGCCGCCGCACCTGTGTCTCACCGAGTGTGGGGGTCGCCGCTCTGCGGTGCAGCTCGGCTCCGCCCGGCTCACAGATACCTACCGAGCGCCTGCTGAGCTCGGCAGTGGCCCACCCTGGGCCACCAACCCGGGAGCTGCTGGGACCCGATCTTTCTTCTAAAGCAGCAGAACCTTCTTCGAACAGAATCTCTCCCCGGTGCTACATGTGGGATTAGACAGATATGGGACCAGAGTCCAGTTGGGGTGAAGGGTCCTGAGGCCCCGTTAGCCTCCTCCACTCCCTCGTGACCCCCAGGCCTGCGGGTCACGCTAGGAAGGGGGCCAGACCCCGCTGAGCCTCAGCCAGTGGGCCTGCCACAGACACCCTGTGCTCCTGACTGACCGAATGACATCACCATGATGACCAGCAAAGTGATAGCCTCAGAGACGTCCCCTTCCTGGTCCCGGGACCTGTGATGTGTCCCCTCCCAGAGCAGAGGGGACCTTGTCAGAGTCCCGAGTTGGGGTGACCCTGGGTTCCCGGGGGGCCCGGCGTCCTTACCAGGTCCTCATGAGAGGGAGGCAGAGGGCCGGGGTCCCAGAGATGGGCAGACCCCGCGCTGCTGGTGGGGAGGATGGAGGGGGACCGCGGTCCAGGAAAGGGCAGGAGCCTGGTCTCCCTGGGGCCCCGGGGGGGATCATAGCTTTCGGTTTTGGACTTGTGATTTCCAGGACCACAGGGTAATAATAAATGTGTGCTGTTTTCAGCTGTAACATTTGTGGTAGCTTATTATGGTAGCGAGAGGACACTGACGCACCATGTGAAGCCCACATGTGGCCCATGGCGCGTTCTGACGTTCTCCACTGTGCTATTAATCAGAAGGAGTTGGAGCTGGGCTGCAGCCAGGAGTGAACATACACCTACAGGCCTTGATATACCTTCTGCTCACTAAACCCAAGCCCTGAGTTTCCTGGTAGCCAAAGCAAAAAGAGAAAGGAGATGAGCTGTGTGACTCTGCCTGCAAGAGAAGCCTTCTCTCCCAGTCTCCTTTGGGGCATGGAGCAGTTCCCTGGGATCCGCGTCCCTCCCCTCTCTTCAGGGAGGGCGTCTGGACTGGGTTCCCAGGCCTGTGCCTAGTCTTGGCTCCAGCTTCACTGTCTGAGGGCCTTTGTTCCTTGTGTTGTGACAAGGGCTAACCTGCTGAGCCCTGGGGGGACTGGGTCCCTCCCTCGGTTCCACGCAGGATCCAACCCAGACCCGGGACGTTGGCAGGGGGTTGACTGTGCCTCTGTATGGGGTCCCTGGGTTTTTGTTTGTTTGTTTGTTGTTTAATTTTAGTTTTATTTTTAAGTAAACTCTACACCCAAAGTGGGGCTTGAACTCACAACCCTGAGACCAAGACTCACATGCTCTGCTGACCGAGCTGCCAGGTGCCCTGGGCTTCCCGTTTTCTAGCTTCCGGGTGGGGCCTGCAGCCCGTGGGACCCTGCTCTCCGGAGTGCAGAAGGTCAAAGCTAGTCCTCACTCAGAGGCCACTCTGTTCCCCTGGATAGTCGCAGCTGACCCTCTGCAGAGGCCCAGAACCCAGGGGCCAGTTCCAGGATGAAGGGCACGTGTACCCAGGGGTTACCTGAAAATTTCAGGGCTGATACTCTTTTTGTATGTGTCAGAGTTTTGTGATGAAATGAACCTTACGGCACTTCAGGTGCATAGGGAGGGTGGGAAACAGTGCCGGCTCTCCGCCGTCTCACACGCTGCCCCAGTCTCCTACACGTTCTCCGGCACGTTCTCGTCGGGTGGCACTGCGGTCCGTCCCCCCAACGCAGCCAGCAGACCAGAGCGCCCGGCCTGGAGCACAGAGGCCCCTGCAGGGAGCCGGGCCCCACTATGCAGGCTGGCCTGGGGCCTGTGCGCTTCCCAGGGTGCTGTGTTCTCGGCGGGAGTCCTGCGGGCGGGACGCTACATTCTCGGGTGTCACCTGTGTGCCTGCCCTTCTACGTGTCTTCCTGTGCATGGCGCTGACCTTGAGCCCTGGTCGGGGCAGTAGCGCTGGGGTCCTCCGCTGTCCCCCGGCCACGGTCAGGTTGCTGCTGCGTTCCCCTCTCCCCCGGGGCGGGTGCGTCGAGGCTGCTGGGGACCCTGGTCTGTCGTGGTGGGGACGGGATGGATTTCCTCACGCGTGGCTAGATGTGGCCTGCAGTGACCGTCACCGTGGTGTCTGTCTAGCAGACACTGCGGTCCCTTTTCCTCCACTGTTTGTCGGCTGGAGGGCTTCTGTGGGGAAAGCTGGCCCTCCGCTTCTTTGGCCACCTGGCTGTGACATGAAGGGCCACTGTCAGGGGCTGCACGCTTCAGTGCTGCTGCGTGGGCTGCTGGGAGTGCCTGTCTGTGTGTCCCCGCTCGGAGACGTCTGGGGTGACCCAGAGTCAGTCCCTGAAGACCCCGCCTCAGCCTGCACACCACCCGCTTCCCCAAGGAAGGCCTCTTCTGACCGTGGCTGGCATGGAGCCGCTTAGGTCCTCCGGCTCTCACTGGTGCCCCCAGTAGTCGAGGGGTCCCCCTTGGGGTCTCCCACCCCTGGGTGTGAGTGCATGGCTTTTCTTTTATTCCTTGCTTTTGATTTAAGCTGTGATTTGCAAATCATACAATTCAGTGACTCTTAGCAAATTCGGAGGGTTGTGTAACTATCACCTCTGTGTAATGCCAGAATGTACCATTGCCCCAAAAGGAAACCCCACATCCACCAGCATTCCCCACTCCTCCCTGTTCCCCAGGCCCCGGCCCTCACAAGCCCCCTTCCTGTCTGTGGAAGAGCCTGGTCTGGACGTGTCACACGCGTGGACTCACACCCCGTGTGGCCTCCTGTGTCTGGTTCCCTCCCTGAGTGTCATGGGCTCGGGGTCCATCCCCGGGCCACGCGCCGGGGGTGCCTCTCTCCTGCCAGCAGCTGAGGGACGTGTCCGTGTGTGAGGGACCCACTGTGTGTGCCTGCTCTTTGGCTGACGGGCATCTGGGTGGTTCCGCAGTGGGATTTTTGTGATCCTGAACCCCGGCTCTGTGAACATCCGTGAGCAGGCTTTTGTGCAGACTCGGGTTCCAGGTTGGCTGAATCTGATCGGGGGGTGTCTGAGGACACATTGAGGTCGGCTGGCGCTGAAGGACTCAGGGTCGCAGACCACGTTGCCCAAAGCCTTGTGCTTCCAGGCCCTGCCCTATGCTCTCCCGACCCTGGGATCTCTGGGGTCCTGGTTGTGGATGTGCTGCCCAGCCCATGTGCCCCTGGGAGCGGGTGCTGCCCTGA